ATCTCACTCCCTTATGCAACTCTTAAAGAGCTATTATTAAGTCATGTAAAATGCACCAGTTTTGAATGCCGTGAAAGGGCGAAGTTTCATAAGATGGTTCGTCAAAATGACCAAAAGGCTCGGGAATTCATCCTTGAATTACAGAAACAAGCTGCCAAGTGTAATTTCGGTGATCAACTTCATGTGCAACTGAGAGATCGATTAATTGCAGGAATTAACATACCGAGTTTGGAAAGAGAGCTGTTAAAAATGCCAAACTGTTCCTTTCAAGATGCTAGAACTGCGTGTATTAACTACGAAGCAGTCAATGAACTTGATATCCAGTCGATGAAGATTTCTAATACTTTGCTTAGTCGTCGTGATGAACTACAATCTCAGGGTCAATCAAACTTGCGTTCATTTAACAGTGATTCCTATTCTCGTGTAAATATGAAAGGTGTTTCAACGAGGAATTACAAAGCAAATCACAAAGGTGAGATGAAGTTTGGTAAATGTTTATCATGTGGAAAGTTTCATGCTCGCAATTCATGTGTATTTCGTAATGCTAAATGTTTTAAATGTGGTAAGGTAGGACACATTCAGTCAGTATGCAAAGCTACTGTCCATTTTGCTTCAAGCTGTACTAAATCTTGTAATTTAAATTTCAATAATTCGGATGTTTCTAATGATCATTTATCTTTATCAACGATTTCAAAAGACAGTGCAGAGTCATATGACAGTTCAGAGTTAGATGAAATCCAGAATTCTTGTGAGACAACAGTTCCTAATCAACCGATTTATCAGAATTCTCATGCTATTGTACCAGGTATGACTTTTCCTAATGATTCACATATTTCTAATGAAATTACTTGCAATATTGAGGAAAATATGTTAAATGAACCTAATCATGATCGGAAACCTGATGTGGTTTGGATAGATGCTGGTTTTTCTAACGATCCTACGCTCTGCAATGACAGTCCTAATGAATTTCATGAGAATATTTCAGAAGAATCAAATCCTGATGTCATATCATATATTACCTCTCCTCATAATGCATTTGATCCTTGTGAAAAACCTGCTCAATGCGAAGCACGAGTACTAAGTGACCTCGAGTTTGATTACATTTCGGATGATTTCATATCAACTGCTGTTTACCCTTATCACAAAAACAGTTCTAATGTTTACTCTAAACAATGTGAGAAATATGTTTTAAATGAAGCCACATTATTCATAACTTGGGGATATAAAGATCCAACATTATTTCGTGGGGGAGGATAGGGTTGAAAAATCTATGGTTCGAATTCTAGATATTAATGATTTCAGTACAAAACCGATATGCTAATTGTATACAATTCTAGATACTACAAAGTTTTTATCTTATACAATGTCGGTCAGACTCAGGATGAACTTAACAAGAAGACGTACAACCGATTACAAACACTTATACTTCTATTTAAGCTGTGGCGGATGTGGTGTTTGAATTAACTAATGATACCTTTGTACTGGTTGAATTTTTGATTTCGAATTCTAAATACAATACATTCGTTGGTGCCTGTGTCTTCTTAATTCAATTGCGTTAATCCTGAAATTCCTAATTCATACTATAATTAGAATACTATAGGATATTTTGTTGAATTCTACCGGCGTAGTATTACTCCATAAATACCTATCGTGAACAGGTCACTAAATATTGGGGCGACGATGCTACCAAATACAGGCCATAAAAAATGACTCGAAATGCTTTAAATAGAAAGTTCATCCACACTAATATACAAATCGAAGGCATAAAGATTACAAGTACATTACCAAAGTTTTACATATCTTAGCAGATTGGTTTTAGATCCAAGATAGTAGAAAACACCACGGCTTATGAAATTCATTTGGACACTAGTGTACATCTACAGAACACTTATGATGGTACTCGGTAAGTCCGGAACAGAAATTCGGAAATCATTCAGAACGCAATCAGCATATCTGATGCTCAGACAGGTTTTTGTCATTAAATTCATAAATATCTTCTTGATCTGCTCTTTAAGTTTTACAAACTTCCAAGAGCACAAATTAACGTCATGTTATCCTGAAAGAAATGTATAAACGAATTCACTTCTTACAGGCACCATAATAATCTAGAAGGGTGAGACTACAATTTATGGACGAACCAATCAGATCTTAGACAACAGGTCTTTGACTTTGACGCAAAACTCATTCATCCATTTTTGATAGAGAGTCTTAGCATTGCAGCTGATGTCAGTTCGTGATGAAAAATTGAAACCTAATTCCTAAGATTAGTCATCAAATGTAAATTATAATTCTAAATCCCCACACACGTTCATGACACTCATTTGGTCCTGGTTATTAAGTGGACACTCTCGAGGTCACTTTGAAGTTGCTCAAAACTAGAGCCTCACCATTTTCTTTCCACGAAAGCTGTTCTTATTTCATTCTAAAGTTTGTTATAAGTAGAGGCATAACAACCAAGGACGCTTGACAGTTCCACAGCTGCCTTACATCTACGAGCTCTCTCGCTGACTTCAAATGAATTCATCTTACTGGACAAACTGGATAATAGATGATGATGAACATAAAAACAGAGGGCATGCCAGTCACCCGCATCTCGTAAACTATATGTGATGACATCCAAGCATGTCATAACAATTTAGATAAACAAACAACAAAGATCGGATATATGTATCTAAGAAAAATCCCTGTGTCCGCATTTTCGTATATGTCCTAATGATAGTTGGTTTGATGTTTTATTAAACAGCCCGTTATTTTGTATAGTCCAATGAAAATTTAGGTACGGGAAGCGGCATATTCAAGTGCAGTGTGTTGCATGTATTTGTCTGCGAATTTCCTTAAAATACATGACGTCAGGGGAGGATATCGGCCTTCACCTAAATAACTGTTGAAAGAAGAAAAATAGACTTTTCCTTACCTCTATGCTTTCGTCCACTTCCTCTTTATTACTCCTTTATTGGTTGCTTGGGTCTTTATAAAATCTAGGGTTTTCACATTTCTATGTCTGATTACAATAAGTTGAAACTCAGGGACAAAACCATTAACGTTTGATATTGCTAGCGATATCTAGTTGTCTTGTGATTTATATTTTTTAAAAGTAGAAATGATCTCCACGAAGCATATCAAAGTTTTCGACTTTTGTCGCTAATCCTGGAATTCTCCACTGGTTTTCGAGAACTTCGTGGGCTTGCTCTTTCGCAATCTTAATACGAACTTTAGTAGCGCCTTTTAGAGGTTTGACACAACACAGCTAACTGAGATTTAGTTACATACTGTCTTGTGTGCCATCTGTTGTGGTCGAAACAACATTCCATGAGTCTTTCGAGAGAAGAGTTTGATATATTTCTAATGACTTATTGATATTTCGTTATAATCTGCAAATCTTTTCTGACATTTGAATGTACTCCAGTTCGATGGTGATCCACTACTGCTAGATACGCAAGTCAGTTAAGCATAAGCTTCTATTTCGTCCACAACCATTTGAGCAGTAGTTAAACCTGAGAGAGTGGGAACAAGGTTTCACTTTGAAAAGCAGAGTCGATCGATTGATTAAAATAAAAAGCGCTGCTCCGTGTGACAGTTTGATCTCTACTCAATGGTTAAGCTTTCGGATAAGGTGACATCCCCGATGTCTATACTCTAAGTCCCGATACCTCCAATCAATGTTCGAACATTTCTATAGAGCTACAACTGTAACCAGTATGGACCAAATTTAGTAAATTATATAAGGAAATTCATACTGTAGTAGTTACTTACCCTAGGTTTATGTATTCGGAGTCAATTGTTCTTAATTTGCCTTGGCGAAACAGTGATGAATAATGTAACGCATGATCACCAAGGCATTGTATTTGATTTGTAACAATATGAGTTACGAAAATGCGGCACCAACCATGTCATTCACTTGTTTGAAGAAATGTTTTTGTAATGGAGCACTAGTATATATATACACCATACAATAAAAACCACAAAAATATATAAAAACTTGGGAATGTGAGTAAGAAAAGATAGGAGAACCAGTTCACACAAAAATACCCGGAGGGATTCTTTGAGTTTGAGTCCCCATTTATACGAAGATAGTGAAAAAACTGCATCATGGATTCCATCGGCTTCTATTATAAGTCGCGTCTAATAACATCTTAAGCCATTACGTAGTTGTCAAGGCACGATAGATGCCAGTTTTGCGCAGCTTTCATGCCACAACATCATGTCATACATTGATCACTTTTGCGCTTTTTTAATTAGTTTGTGTCGGCAAATAATAATGATGTGGAGTGTATCACGATCGTGAAACCACTCGAATCCTTGTAATTGTGTCTGAACACACGTCAAACCTCCCCATTACTAGCAGAGTTGCCATTCAGCGTCAGCAATCGTTTTGGGACAGCAGTGATCAAACACAGAGTCGCTTAACATCCTCAACTCGGAGAGGTCAACTATATAACTTACATAAATATTGGCCACTTTCTACTGTACACCATCATTTCATCTCTTCTCTATGCTATTATTGAATGTAACAACTACGATGCATTTTTCGTTTTGATATGTTGGATTGTTGTCGAAAAACACGACAAAGTATTTTCTCAACATCCATCGTACTGCGGTTTTATAAGCGTGTTCACTAATGGCTTAAATGTGGGTATTCGATGGAGATTTGTAATAAATTTAAATTCCTTCATTCCCTGATCATTTTTGTACACCATTGATAAGGACCAATTAATATTCGAATATTGTTATAAGAACTTACTAAGCGATTAGTTCACGCAGCTCTAATAAAAACCACCTAAGTGAAGCATACGGTAAAGGCCTTGTAACTTTTTATACTGTATAAATGTCACATTTTTAATAAATTCCTTCAAGATATGATTTCCACTAAATGTGACTTTCAAGTATCTATATATAATCACTTTTTTTTCTTGTCCATGATAGAATTTTATTTTCGGCCTCAATTCTAGATGGTGATGACTTCGGTTTGTCAAATATAAATATAATTTGGAAGTGTCGAGATGGATGATGAAGTTGACTACATGTCTGATGCCATTTTGAACGAAATGTAAGGTTTTACTCTCACTTCATAAATTTTTAGAGAAGATGTAAAACCGGGATTATTTATATCACGAGATGTCCAACGACAGCGTACAGTGGAGGCGAATCGACGGAAAAACAAATGTCTTTCCAAGTCGGAAAGGGAAATCCATCACCTCAAGGAAGGTTTAAAGAAAAAGGTTGGGCCTAAAAATAAAGGTTTCAGTCTACTTTCAAAAATGGGATACGTTCCGGGTAAAGGTTTGGGAAAAAATGGTATGTAACATACAACAGTTTCACACTCCCTTGTTTTCATAACTTGAAATTACTTGGATCATCGCAGTAACACATTTTGCGCTAAGTTATAGCGTGAGATATTACTGAAAACTTCTAGTCAATCAGTCGTAAGCAAGTAACGAGTGGTAATGTCCTGATAAAATTAACTTATGAAAGTTTTGCTAAAGATACTTTGTCTTACAGAGTATGGAATATAGGATTTTGGTAGACCAGACTACAAGCACCCATGTGCGATGAATTGGCTTTTGACAGTAAAGTTTTTGTCAAAAAATAACAAATTCAGAAGTATCTACTTTGTTTCTGATAAATATCTTCAAAACTACGTAGTCAGCCGTAAACAAGAGAGATTCATAATCATAAAAGTGGTTCATTTTATTTTTATGGAATACTAATTACATTTCATTATACCCTCTAAATCGTTTCCCCCACTTTCATCCAAAACAATACTTTTGTCATAGGGAATTAATAAATATCGAATCTTATTATTTATATTCTTTATGTACGTATCAGTGTAAATTGAAAGGTAATTTTAAATAAACGGGTAGAAATGTAGAAACGTGATAGCACAAATATATATCTGTGAGTTTGAAGGATGTACAATGCTACGTGCAAATAAAACTAGTTCACGGGATTATACAAATTCATTAAGCCTTATTCGCTTACACATTTAGTTTTTTTGACCATTAAAGATTAATTTTTGAATATCTTGTTACTGTATTCAACAATGCAGGAACTAAGCTAATAGGAAAGTAAATGGTGCTTTACGTCTACAAGTAGAAACATCTTTTTCACTCTCTGTTCCTATACATTTTTGTAAATTTTAGCTACTGGGATAGCTGATCCTGTTTCTATTGAAATCCCTCAGGGTCGTGAAGGCCTCGGTTTCGCGTCTGAAAAAAACGAACGTATGATATTTAGGGAAAACCTCAAACAAAAGATACAAATGGCTTACAAAGATGAATTCCGAAGCACTATGGCCGTGAGATTTCGACAGAACCGTTTGAACCGACAACTGGATGTTGCCCGTCGGATATGTCAAGATCTGGATTTAAAAGAACTTATTGAAACTCCAGTTCACGAATCATTCTGGCCACCTATTGATCTTGTTCCAACTGAGGTCGCTGATAATGGTAAATATGGATCAGGCACTTCGAATGGTTTTAAGTCTGTTAAAGACAGAATTCCTGTAAGTAATGTATTGCCTCAGGAAGATTATGTGAACGAAGATTTTGCAGATAATGATTTAGCCAAACTGGACTCGAAACATGCGAATTGTGACTACACTTCTGTAAGTATATGTAGTTTCTTTCTCTATTTTATTTACCCATGATAACCATACTGTACATTTGTGTTGTACCACTCCTTCACTGAATACTGAATCAAAGGATAACTGAAGTGTATTTTTCTTGCGTGGAAACTCAAGTTTATTGCTGTAAGAAAAAAATTTCCTTGAATAATAATGCAGAGCAGATATTAGTCACAAGTCAGAACAGTTATACTATCGCACTCTGCATCATTCAAAATTAACTATTATTTTGATTTTATAGGTCCAAAGAAATTTCATACAACTTTTGAATTATTTACGAAGTCGACATAATTATTGCTTTTGGTGTAGCCTGCAGTACCAAAATCAATCTGAACTTTTAGAACAATGCCCTGGAGAGGATGAAGACCAACACGATTAATCCATTTTACCTAAGATATTATGTACAGACAATTAATTATTGCATATATTCTATTATACTTTGAGTTGTTGATTCACAGCTTCACTTATGTTTTAACATAGGTTTGTTATGAATATTAAATGTACGTAAAACTGGTACATATGAAGAAAACTAGATTCACAAACTTATATTCGTTAAATAAGTTAGTTCATAGTTTAATTATTTTCTTTGGTGATCTGCCCACAGTATACTTTCTTTAAGTAGTTGCAGTTTTTCTCCCTCGCGATTGTCAGTGTCATTTTCCTTTATTTCTAAGAAAAATATTTTGGTACAGCACAGGTTCATAAAAATACCCTGAACAGAATGTAAATTGTTGTGAAGTGAAAAAGCAAATCGTCGTATAACAAATAAATAAATATGAAAAACGATTGTTATGTTTAAAAACTGCGATTCCATCTTTTACGCGACGTTCCACAAAAGCTACAAAAAGACCGATATTAGCTTTTATTTTACTCCACGTCTGAAGGTGTATTAATTTGGCTAACTCCTGTATTCTGTAAGATTCTGAATCACTGGGTCTTGATGACCAGCTACAATCCAGTCATCTATAGCTGTCATAAAATTGTCAACTCTCTACGTTTTCCACTTAGTCCAGGGCTAGCAAATAATGCGCGACGTAAAAGCATCTAGGACCGCATCCATAAAACATGCCCAATATACAAAACAAGTGAACCTAGATTGACACACTGATTACGTTATCGTTACTGAGCTTCAAACAAAAATATGCTTTTTTAGGTTTCAAAGCAGTTACGTGTTTGAGAGCCTTTCCTGAGTGTTTTCCGGGTGTTAACTATGAAGCTTTGTTTAAAACACCTGGCTCCTAATTAATAAGTCATGGATTCTAAATTTGCCACATATATAATTTGATACGTTAACCTCTGTATGGTAAATGAGTTACATGTTGAATTTCCGAAGGTGAAGTAATGTGGCAGACTTTATATGTGTAGTAAATCTCAAATGTTTTGGAATGTCAGTAGGTAGATGGACTTTCAGGACAATGTGGGAGACCGGGAGAAGCAATAAAATAGTTGTGAAAATAAGGACATATAACCTGGCGATTCTCGGAATCAGTGAAACCTATGGGACCGAAGCTGGACAGCAAAAACTAGGTGCGAGAGAGATGCTTCGTACTCCGGTCACAAAGAGGAAAGTGCTGACACAGATTTGTTATAATGTTGTACAAGGTGTTACTCAACCAAATGAAAGACTCAGTAGGCACCCAACTTCGAGATCGACAGGCTGGATTCCGTACGGATCAGTCGTGCAGAAACCGAATCGCAACACTACTGATCATCGTTGAACAATCAATCGAATGGAATCTGTCACTTTACGTCAACTTCATTGATTATAAGAAGGCGTTTGACAGAGTGGACAGGAGAACATAATGGAAACGTTTTCGACACTATGGAGTTCATGAGAAGATTGTCAACATGATCCGGAATTCATACGACAGACTATAGTGCAAATTAGTCCATGGAAGACAGCTGACAGATACATTCCAAGTGAAGACCAGAGTCAGACAAGACTGCTTACTCCCTCCCTTTCTGTTTCTTCTGGTGGTTGACTGGATTATGAAGACCTGGTCGTCTGAGAGGGAACACGGAATACAATCAGTCAGTTAGTCAGTAACAACGTAAAACTTCGTACGTACGTACATCAATTCGAGTCGCCACACCACATTAGCACAGAGATGCAGTTGTCGACTCAAATTCCGTCATGGTAGAGGTAGTAATAGTATAAGCAGTAATCTGAAACATTAGAGCTTGAAGATGTTATTCACGGAGTATAATACAGTGAAATAAATTTGGAAAGAGAAGAAAGAAAGGGACATGAAGAATTCAGAAGATTAGAATTTGGGAGAACACAAAGAGTGGATGCACCTGCGCCATCGCAAACGATTTTGAGCCATGTCATACAGGGTCTCTAACCATCGGTTGCTATCATCTCGCGGTCCCCAACCAGGTAGTCTACACCTACCAACATGACTCAGTCCACTTGTCAGTGACTCATGAACTTGTGCCATGTTTTGGTCTGGCCGCCCCTAGCTTTCTTCCAACCTACTCCTATATCACTGAACATCGCACGTCAGTCAGTCAGTCAGCTACAACGTAGGACCAGGTACATATGTGCATCGGTCCAGGTTGCCATACCGCATCAGCACAAAAAGATGAACACCGGATTCATAGCAGTGGTTAGGTCAAAGGTGGTAATGTATAAAAGAAAGATTGATATAGAGATATAGTACAAGAAAAAATTGGTTCGTAGAAAGAAAGGTATGAAGCGATTTTATTCTTATGGTTTAAGGGAAGACAGGGAGTGTATACACCGATGCCATTGTGATCGATTCTGAGCCATGTCACCCAGAGTCTCCAACCATTGGTTACGATAGTCACGCGGACTCCAACCAAGTAGTCTGCATCTACCAACATGGCTAGGACGAGGAGTTGGTGACTTCAAGCACTGATGCCACGTTTTGGTTTGGCTGCCCCTAACTTTCTTCCAACCATTTCCAATACCGGATAACATTGCACGTCGTGGTAATCGGTGTTCAGGCATACGTAACACGTGGCCCAACCATCTCAGTCGATGAAGATTCATAACCTCATCAACTGATTTACCATCATTCCCTAATACCCTGCGTCTAACCTCACTATTACTTACCCGGTGATCCCAGCAGACGCCAGCAATATTTCTAAGGCATCTGTGGTCAAATACTAGTAGCTTACGAGTGTCTTCTACTCTTAATGGCCATGTTTCGCTGCTGTAAATTAAAACAGAACGGACTGCCGCGCAGTATACTCGTCCTTTTATTGATAGACGGATATCTCGCCTTCGCCACAGGTGACGTAAGTTGGCAAAAGCCAAACGAGCTTTTCGAATCCGTGCTGAGATTTCGTCCGATACCAACCCATTAGGGCTGATCAGACTTCCAAGTTAAGTAAAGTTGTCAACGCGTTCAACTACTTCACTCCCTATCCTTAGTTCGAGTGTTGACGCAGACCAGTCCTGAAGCAACAACTTGCATTTCGAGGGAGAGAAGTGCATTCCAAACATTCTGGCATTGTTGCTCAGTGCTACCAGAAGACTCAGCATTTTGTCAGCGTCTTCACCAAACAGGACTATGTCATCTGCGTATTCTAAGTCGATAAGTGGGCCTCCTGGTAGAAGATCAACACCCGAGAATTCAGTAGACGAGAATGTTATTTCCATCAATAAGTCTATGATGAAGTTAAACAAAAATGGAGAAAGTGGACAGCCTTGACGGACACCACTTGAGGTTGCAGAAGTAGATGAAAGTTCGCCATAAGCCCTGACTCGACTAGGAGTGTTCGAGTAAAGAGCCTTCACAAGGTTTATGTACTTCTGTGGTGCACTTTTCACTGACAGACTTCTACAGAATCTCGCGGTCTACCGAGTCAAATGCTGCTTTTAAATCAAGAAAGACCACCATTGTCGGACGCCGGTAAGTATGGCTATGTTCTATAACCTGACGAATGGTGAATATGTGGTCGATGCAGCCACGACCAGGTCTGAAGCCAGCTTGATTCTCTCGTGTTTGCAGTTCACGAGTCCTAGTTAAGCGTCTGATAATTATCGAGGCTAGTATTTTAGATACTATATTAGTTAAACTAATCCCTCTGTGGTTGTCACAGGATGATTTTGACCCTCTCTTATATATTGGGACGATAAGTGATTGTGACCAGTCAGATGGGATAACGTCTAACTCCCAGATCTTAGTTAAAATATTCGTCAACCTAATCGCTAAACTTGGACCACCATCCTTAAAGACCTCTGGAGACAATCCATCTGCCCTTCCTCGTTTCAGATTAACTATAGCCTTTTGAACTTCTGCTAGAGTTCGGGAACCTACTTCAATGCTCTATTCACACTGTCTGGGAATGGAGTGTAGTTGTAGAGTAGCTGAAGGCCAGCTGAACTGTTCTCTGAAATGTTCCGCCCATCGTTCTAAACGTCTGGACTGGGAGCAGATGAGTGTATCGTCTTTTCCCGAAATAGTCTGACTTACACTTGACTTATTAATTCCAGTTTCTTTTATTAGTCTGTAGAGCTGTCTTGTGTTCCTTATAGTCGCCGCCTTTTCCATCTCTTTTGCTTTCGATGCCCACCACTGCTCACGGTCGTTCCTTAGACTTTTTCTTAACCTAGATCTGATTTGTTGTCGCTCTTCCTCATGTTCAGAGCCTGATGGGATGAGTTTACGAGAATCCATCAGTGTGATAGACTTTGGAGAAATCCACTGGTTCTTTGAAACTCTGTGGTTTAAGTCGCTAATAGATGTCACTGCTGCTTCCACAGCTGCTTGTATATCTTTCCAAGCAACATCTGGGTCAGTCTCGTCTTCAGAACTACCTAATCGTGACCTCAGTTGTTCCTGGAACCTACTTTTGGTTTCCACGCTACTCAGTTCGGTTCTAATGGGTCTTTTTACTGTGGCTTTTTTGCGTCCAGTGAGGCGCAAGCAGATGCGTGCCCGTATTAGGGTGTGATCGGAGTCCAAGCAGGTACTCCAGAATGAGCGACAATCTTGTACCGACCCTCTCCAACGATGACTGATGGCAATATGGTCTATTTGAGTCCATCGTTGGCTTCGTGCAGGCGGTCGCCACGTTAGACGATGTCTCTCCTTATGCTTAAAATTTGTGTTTGCCAAAAATAAACGATTGTCTGAGCACAGTTGCAGCAGACGGTCACCATTATCTGTTCGCTGTGTCGGAATACTAAAATATCCACCTAAATGCCTTTCTGTTTGGTTTAAACTGCCTATCTGAGCATTAAAATCACCTGCTACGAGTACTATGTCTGAGCGTTTAGCTTTCTGAAGAAGTTCGGACAGCTTTCTGTAAAATTCATCTTTTACATCATCCGAGCTGCAGTCAGTGGGAGCGTAGGCAGAAACGACGAAAAGGCAACGACGGGTGTCCCTATCCTTCCGAGTGGCG